AATCTATAATCTGTAAAACCACTTCAAATTCTTCGAAAAATTAAATTTTTATGCATATTTAATTACACAATTTTGTTAGCAAATTTTTATTGAGCTTGAGGCCGTTTTTTGTGAAAAAATATTATGGTAAAAACGCAATATTTTTTCAGAAAAACGGCCTCAAGCTCAACAAAAATTAATTAATGTGCTTTATTAGGCCAAAAAATAACGAAAAACTATAAAATTTTTCTAAATATTTTTTGATAGCTGCTAATATTATCTTTTATACACAAAAATTTATCTTTTATGTGTTCGCAACCGCAACACGCACGAAAAGCTGAACGGATTTGAAAGATTTCTGCAGGGAAATATATTTTTTCAATAAAAAAATATTTGTTCTAACGATTTTATAGCCATTCTACGAGCTAAGACCATTTTTTTTGGTCTTCCTAATGTATGTAGTACATATACGAATTTTAAAGTAATAAATTTGTTGTAAAAACGGCATTAACAATCAACGACTTCCCATTTCTATTCATACTTACATATATGTATTCCTAATCGTATTTGTATTCGTATTCATTATATTCAAATTTTCATTATTACCTTCACTTTCCTTTCCATTCTTATAGCCCACCCTTTTTTCCACTTCGTTACTTATCATTACACACTTCGGTGTAACTGTCATGCTGATACACTCCGGCAACGCTGCCACACCACAACAACAGCATGACAGAAATCTCGCTTATACTTATCGATATGAGTCATCATCAGCTTTGTCAAACCCAGTTACGGATCAGCAATACTTGAGTGAGAATTTACTTTGTGATACGACAAGTAGAATACAACGAAATCAACAACAAAAAACATCTACTTTAATCAACAAATTGCAAACACAACTAAATGAAATCGACCCACGATTCGAACAACGGGAAATTCTTGACAAAATGAAGCCTAGCTACTACATTGAGGATATTTACAAGGCTGTGGCGCGCAACTACGAGTATAAGCTGTGAGTCAAATGAAATACTTGGGAAGTAACAAAGTATGTAGTCTAATTGGCTTCGTTTTTAACTCTTGGCTTGGCTTTAATTAGGTGCGTTCGCGTAGCTGTTAATTGTTCAAGTTTAACCAAAACTTACAGGTTTTTGCGTTCGCGTACGCAAAAAACTTGCAAAGTAGGGGAAATTGAGAGAGCAAAGTGACATTTCATTTTGAGGGGAAGCTGTTAGTTTCTGTTGGAAAAATTTTTGCCAACAGCAATTTGCCAACAGGGAAACAGCTGATCAAAAACAGCTGGTTGGCANCAGCTTGCTATATTTTTAGACTTAAAGCTCTCTTCAACCCGAAGGGTCGACTGCGGACAGTGTGTTTATAGTCTGTGAAGGCCTATTCCCTTTCGACGTTTAAGACTTTCCACTCTTGGTAGGCAAATGCTTTGATAAATTTGAGAAATTCTGTATTAAGTTAAAATTAAATTTGGTAGATAAGAAAATATTTTCCTCTTCAAACCTGCTTCAGTGGGAAGTTTCAAACCAAAAGTCTAACTCGAGAATCCCATACAACTTGCTATCGGATGTATAAATTCATACACAGATGGCACAAAACTGACTTCTATGATCTCTTCATCCTCAGCCGTGTTTTGTTTGCGCTCTTAAACTATACCAGCTATCGATCTTTCTTGATTTTATAGCAAGAGATTATGGGTAAAAATACCCCAAAAACTCAGTGGCATGCTCGAGAGTGTCAACGGAGCTGATAAAATAGCCACCCGGCTCCGAAAAGTAGAAGCTGCTGCGTCTGTGACGTTTCATTGTGAAAAGGAAGTCGCCGATGAGTTGGCAGAAGAAAATTATGCGGCAATAGTTCTTAGAGATATCAGACAGTCTAAGTTGTAGAATTATCCGTTCAGTAAAACAGACAGCAGTAATTTAGCGAACACATAAGAGAAGTCTGCGCGAGGAGTAAACTACATACTTACATATTAAATCGAGATGCAGAGTAGGTACGTACTCACGGATGACTTGAATTACAGCTCCAAACGAACTCTGGAGGTGGCAATAAAAGGCCTTAGATCGTTGTTGATACGCTTGAAATTGATTAAGGAATGCCTAATTATTTCCCCAAAATCAGCAGAGTTTTGTTTTTTTTTATCAAGCGAATATGACTGCTAAGCAATTCACAGTAGTATTGAAGGAACTCGTAAAGCTAGTGAGTTAGTGAGATAGGACCTGTTTGAATTTGTCGACAGCCTAGGAGATTGTTTAGCGAGGAAAGTGGTTGTGGGCCAGCCGTCGCTGTTGTTTAGACTCTGTCCAATTAAAATGTACTCGCTAATTACACTGCTTTTATGTAGGCTCAACTCCTCGACAGGGATTCACAACCGAAAAAGGCGTCTTAAAAATCACAAGATTTCCAGTGCGGATAGCAGACGGGCTGAGCTGTTCAGAGCTGATGGCGAAGACCTTGGCACAATTTACGAGTAGTCGAATAAATATATGCTCACAAATTTTTGTCCAATCGACAACACAGTGTGATAGAATGAAAGCAAGAGAAGAGCGACTTCCAACGAACAAAAAAACCCATTAACTCACCTAAAAAGATCTTTCGACGCAGTATTAAACCACAGGAAATGAAAGTTTTGGGCGATCACGAGCATGATGTAAGAATCTAGTGGGGTAGAAACTAGCTGTCTTTTGGTAGGAGCAAATAATAGAACTTCGCTAATTTTGAAAAAGAAGAAATTCTGCCCGGTAAAAGAGAGAGAGAACTATGAACGGAAACTTAAAAGGGGTTTTTAGAACCAAATAAAAAGTAGAAAAATAAGAAGAAAGGAGAAGAATAAGAAGAACAGGGACAGGAAGGGGAAGAAGAAGGGCAAGAAATAGTAGGAGATGAAGAAAAATAAGGAAAAGTAGAATAAGACGAAAAATAAGGACAGCAGGGACAGAATAGAAATGAAAAGAAAAACATACAGGCGCAGGAAAATTAGAAGGAAAGGACAGGGAGGAGGACGAGGAAATGAAGAGGAAGAAAACTAAAGGTAGATAAAAAGATAGAGAAGAAGAAAGAGAGGATGAAAAAAATGTAGCAGAAGGAAAAAAAGAAGTAAAAAATTGGAGAAAGGGGGAGAAGTAGGAAAAAAGGACCTTAAATCTAAAAAGAAATGGAAGACGGGTAAAAGAAGAAGGTAGGAAGAGAAAAAGACTAAGAAAAAGTTAAATGAAAGTAAAACGAAGGAGGATAAGAAATAGATGGCATGGAAAAAGGAAAAGAAGAAGGAGCTAAATAAGAAGAAAAAGAAGTGTGATGTAAACAAGTGGAACAGATGAATAAGCAGAAACAAAGGATGAAAAAATGACGAAGAAGACAAAAATTAAAGTAGATAGAGCAATAGGGAAATAACAAGGAGGAGAAGTATAGAAGGACAGAAGATGGACAGAAAGAGGAAAAGGTAAAGATGAGAAAGAAAAAAGAAAAAAGGAAGAAAAGGAGAAGAAGAAGAACACTAAAAGATGATAAAAAGATAGAGAAGAAGAAAGAGGACGAAAAAATTAAGCAGGAGAGAAGAAGTAATTAGTTGGAGAAGGAGAAAAAAAGCACGTAACAACTAAAAAGAAGAAGAAGGGTAAAAGAAGATGAAGAAAAATTGGAAGGAGAGGACGAGAAAAAGTTGGTTAAGGAAAAGAAGAAGAAGGTAACTTAAAGAAAAATATAATGGGAGTAAAAAGAAAAGACAGTGGATAAGGCAAAAAAGATATAGAAAAAGAAAGGAAGAACGACATGATGAGGAAGAAGAAAAAGAACTGTGAAGTAAAAAAAGTTGAATAGATGGATAATATGAAAAAAGAGATGAAAAATGACGAAAACGGCAAGAATTAAAGGAGAAGAATAAGAAGGAGGAGAAGTAAAGAAGGAAAAATGAGGATGACGGAAAGGAAAAGAAAAGATAGAGAAGAAAAAGTAAACGGAGAATAAAAAAAAAACGGGAAAAGGAATATACGAGAAAGAAAAAGGAAAAAAGAAGAAAAGGAGGAGAGGAAGAGGATGAAAAGAAAAAAGAGAAGAAGAACAGAAAACACTTTTCAAGCACAGGACTGAATTATTCTCCATTCTTATGTAGGCAAAACTATTAATTTTTTTTTTCTCTTTTAATCTTGAGCATTTTCTTCTTTCATAATTATATATGTACCTGTTTTTTTTTGGATTTGATCGCCACCACAAACATCGCAAGTTGTTGAATGTGTGACTTTTAATCCTAAAGTAAAAAAAGCTATAAAAACTTCGTTTCTAAAAATAAGAACGCCCCTAATGAATCTGTGCATAGGAATAGATTAGCATATGCATGTATATAAATAAATACATACTATGTATGTACATATGTATGTATGTACCACACCTGAGCTTTTTAACAAAAAGTTGTGCTTTTGTGGAATTTATATGTTTGTGACCATTTTATTGCGCGCACTCTGCGAACGAAAGACTTAAGTCACGAACTTGCTGTGAACTTTTTGTGAAAGTGAAAAGCTACAGCTAACATTGCCCGCCTGCTTTGTTGACAGCGGCAAAAGCACCATAAATGTTAAATTAATTACAGATAAATGTAACACATTCCCATATGCACCTGTACACACAAAAATAGTGAGTATGTAGTGTATGTTTCAATGTGTGTATGTAGTATCCATGTATGCCTTTCATGCAAATAACTGTGCATCTGCCTTCGCTTCCTTGTTGGCATTGCAGGTTTTTCTGGTAATTTTATAAACAAAGTTGCTTCCTTTTAGTCAAGCTTATGGCTGTAGACAGCACGACTTTTGTATTGTGGAAAAGCGAAAACTGAGAAAAAGGAGTTTAGAAATGTGTTTTTACTTGTAAATTATAGCTGTGCACTGTTTGATTGGGCTTGGCACGGAAACACAGTAACATACAGACATTTACTCGTCCACCCAACTCAGATGCCAGGTGACCTACAGAGTTAAGTACTTCATTGTTCATGTGCATGCACATATATGTGAGTAAATACATATATGAATGTATAGTGCATACATATAAAAGACTTTTTTATTGAATGTAAGCGACTCTAGCTGGATTTTAATTCAATTTATGCAATTTAA